AGATGTCATCATCTGTTGTTCTTGGATAGTAAAATTGACATTTAGATAATATTGAAGTGTTCTTGCTCTAGGCATAATTATAAACCATAATTATTGTTATTGATGGATTTTATGAATTCCTTGTATGTGATCATATGTGACAAGTCTGTCAATTCCAGAAGTAGGTCTAACCTTCAACTTGCAGTTTAGAATTGCTGATAACAAGGGAAATTTAGTGCCTAAACATATTATTTAGTCTCAAACACAATTTTTATTGAAAACAGGGAGAGTATTACATGAATAACAAAGTTCCAAGGATAAATTCTTTTGATTAAATTAATTAAATCAAATTTTAACCATACAAATGATTTTGAGTCAGTACAAAATAATCCCTTTTTAATAATCCAGCTAGAGACAGATGGTTAACAACTTAAAAACTGATGAAATGACATTAAACATGATGCACTCCTAGTTTTCCACCAGAGGTCTGCAGATATGTATAAATACAACCAATTTGTACCTGAGTGACATTGTGAAGAATTTTTAATGCTGTGTCGTTGACGTCAGATCCTCCAAGAAAAGGTCAGCATCAATTGTATATTGTATGTATTTTTTAATGTCATTTTGTTGGTTTTTAAGTTGTTAACCATCTGCCTCTAGCTGAATTATTAAAAAAAGGATTATTTTGTACTGACCCAAAATTATTTGTATGGTCAAAATTTGATTTAAGAGAGAGTATTATTTTGCTGTTTGTTCATATTCATGCAGTGTGAAATTTGTTATTTAGCTCAAATGGCACTAAAATGCCCAATTCTGACAACCTGCCACAATATTTATTTAACACAGAGATAAATATACAGACCAGATATCACAGACTCGTAATATTTTCTGAGAGCCGCTTACCAAAGGGTAGTGCTAATGTTGTCAACTAAATTTTCCAATAACTGAAAACAAAGCAGTCTTCACAACACTGCATATACATATATTACACACTGAGGTGTCAAACCTTTTTCTGAGGAGGACCATATAAGCTATAAATGGCAAGTCTGGGAGCCAGATACTAAAGATATAGTCAAAGATTAAGATTTTTTTTATTTCCAAATAACAATGGACATATATCAACGTTGAATTTTGCAACCTGTTTTTTGAAATAATAGATATTCATTGAACAATGATGTTTGATATTTTGATTTTATTAGGTTGTAAAGGTAAAATTTAGACATTTTGAAAAACTTTATTTACAATTAACTCAACAATGATTACAGTTCAGTCTTGTAAGTAATCACCATCAATATCAATCACATCTCACCATCTTTGCAGAAAACTTTCAATTACTTTATGGAAACTGGAACAAATTACATACAAACCATCACTACCACAATAATGGTAGAATATAACCTCTGAATAGAGAAGTTTGTCTGCTATTTGGATAAGTCCATTATTAGGAGCTACAGTACATGCTGGCAGCTATACTGTATTTTAACTCCTTAAGCCTCGAGCAATTTTTGATATTAATGTAATTAAACATAAAAAATACTTAAAACTGAAAAAAAACAAAAGAAATGCATTAATTTTGAAGAAAAAGCTTCAAATTTCATTTTCCTTTGTCTTGCCTTTCTGTGAAATTTGACACTGAGTCATTGTTTACACAGCTGGATGACCTTGAGAACAGCTGGAGTCAGATTTCCCTGGACATTCTCATAGAAGTCTCGGGAGGCGATGGGTTTATAGTAGGGTAAATACTAGTTAACCGTATATTTTTAAATATTTTTAAAAAAATAAAATTTTTATTGAGATTTCCAACCCCCCGACTTAATTAAACTTATATATAATAAAATCTATTAATTAAAAAAATTAAAAAACTATTGGATGTCGTTTTTGATATCAGAAAGTAGCTTTAAATAACTTTACCGAAGTAAAATCTGTGCACTACAACTTTAGAACGATTAATTAAATTTGATAAAAGAATCGCATTAAAAAACAATTAAGCATTAATCGCGCGTCATTAAAGGTTGATTAAAATCGTGATAAAATTTTTTTGTGCGGGTAAAAATTTTTGAAAAAAATTTGGAGACCTAAAAAACATTCCAAAAATTCAAAAAAATTTCAAAAGTGGCGTTAACGACCGAGTTTTTCGTAACACTATGTAACTTGCCCGAGATATCTCGGGCTTGGGGCTTAAGAGGTATGATCATCATATAGTGAAGAATACAATGGATTACAAAAAAAATCAAATTTGCATTAGGAATGTAAATAAACAATAGTGATACTATATCGAGGTAAAGTAAATAACAAATGTACCAGGGAGCCTGTTACCAGTGTGCTTCTCAGAAAAAACAGAACATTATGAATGTTTCAAACTTGGAAGTTCTTCAGGTAACTACAGTGGTACTTCAGGATACGAACGCCCCAGCATATGAAATTTTCAGGATACGACGTGAGATTCGAACATATTTTTGCTCCACGATACGAACAAAAACTCACCATACGACGTTACATTAGTTCGCAGCACCATTTTTTATTCACTTCTGTTCATCGGTCTCAGTCCACGTGTTTGCTTCGTCATGGAAGGATCTCGCTCGATAAAGGAAATTATCAGAAAGTGACTGATTTTATTGAAAAGAAACATTGCAAAAAGATTCACACTGGCTGTATTATGCTCAGAGTAATAACATTTGCCTGAGTCATTTTAGAAACATTTTAAAAAGTAGGCAAAGCCAAAACCTCTTTGGACAGATACAGTATTTTACCAAGCAACCTCTATTTATTGAAAGTGCTGGTGGAAGTGAAGGAAAGAAAGCAAAAAAGCAGTGAATAAAAAGTTAACAAAAATATGTAACAGAAAAGATTAAAAAATTAGTGTTAAGTTATTTTTAAGTTATTGTTACATTATGTTATGTAAGTTAAGTTTTAGTATCATTTCTCTTCTCCCTCTCTTCCGCCACCAGTTTACACCCCCACTGTCGTCTATCCTCAAAGATAAAGTGCAAATAAAACTACATTTTTTTAAAATCAATTATTATTCTATTATGGTTATTTATACATTTACAACTACAAAATGCATTTTTCACTGTTTTCCTTACTATAGTTATTTTTTTTTAATGTACAACTTAGCTTTAATTTGAGTGTGTTTTTCGTGTTGGAACAAATTATTTGGTTTTACATGTAATCGTATGGGAAAAAATGATTCACCTTACGACATTTACATGATACGATCTCAGTTTCGGAACGGATTAATTTCGTATCCTGAGGTACCACTGTATCACATTCGTTTAACTGAAGAAGAACTTCAAATTCAAAAACGTTCGTAATGCTCTGTTTTTTCCGAGAAGCACACCGGTAACAGGCTCCCCGGTACATCTGTTGGAATGTAAATATACTGAAAAGTATATATAGCATATATAATTAAAATATTTATACTGTACATTATTCATCTTTTCAGTTGTAAAAACTTCATTTTAATTAAATTCTAAATAGTAAACAGATCAGACAGGATACTTTAAATGGAACAAAAATTCAACAACACATAAATGTACATTAATTATTAATTTGTCAAAAACAACATGGGCATAATGAAAATGAAACTGTTGTCATGAACTGCAGGGAGATAAAGGTAGGTTTAGGTGGTCAGAATTTGAATATCAAGTTATGAAGATGATTTGCTAGCCACTTCAAGAGCTGGGAAATGTATTCAGCATTCTTGCATGTATAATGTCATTTATGATTTACACACCTAACAAAAATTGATATAGTGACTTGTCTGCTTTGTAGTTATCAAATAGGTATAATTTTTCAAATATTTTTGGTTTTCAATAAATTATTTAAAAATTACATCTAAGCACCACAAAACTGTTAAGATCATAAATGGTGTCAAATGCAAGAATGCCAAATATCTTCCAACACTATAGTGGCTGGGAAATTACTTTTGTAACACAACCTTTGAACTTTCACCATAAAAACACTGTAGTAACCATTTCAAGTTTCTTTTTTATTACTGTACTATGGTTCTTGTTGAATGGATGAATAACTCAGGAGAAGTTTATGGTTTCTTGGTAGCATAAGCTTAATTCAAACAATAATATAGAAGTTTAACAACATTAGTATGTATGACAATAAGTATGACCAAAACAATTGCTTTGGTCTGGGATCATAGGGATTTTGCTTAGCACATTTGGGCCACCACTAGCTATAGGCTCTGATTCCAAATGACTTTTCATCATTGTAGTTCCACCACTGATGTATGATCAGACAAAGTAAACACAACAATGTTCATCCATCAAAGAACTACAATAAATGCTTTGCAACTTCTTTTATATCTGAAATCTGTTAGAAAACATACAAATATTTATGTTAAGGAGACAGCAATGCCAAATTTTGTCCTAGCAGCTGAATCTAAGTAAGATTTTTTCCAAAAATCAAAACTGCAAACTCAGAATAATACATACAGCAAATTCAGCCAAGATTTGCCAAATAGTTCTTTCTACAGAGAGCTTCAACCACCTAAAAAAATAGGTTCTTTAATTATGATTGGCCCGTAAATATATTGCACTCTGACAATCATTTCTCATCACAAGAATTTTGACCAACTTCTATTTGAATTTCATAAGAGACTAAAGTCATCAAAGTCTTATTTAGAATATAAAGTTTGTAAGGAACTTTTCAAGTTTGTTTTTAAAAATTCAACCATNTGTAAATCAAGGGATGGGTATACTACAATTTAAAAGTTTTATCATTGGACTATGACAAGTCTTAAATATTTAAGAAAGATGGTGAGCTTAAAGATTAATTATATAAAGACAAAATGCTTAAAGTAAGGGAACTTTATACTATATACTAAACAAGAAGTTATCTTAGAAAGTTTAATTAAGGTAGGTTCTTAAGTAAATATATTATTTTTATCAAACATTTTAATCTAAATAAAGTTAGTAAATAAAGTTTTTTACTAATATTAAAATAAAAAAAACATTTATATTATAAATAACAAACAATAACTAAAACAAATACATTTAAAAATCACTTACACATATTCAACTGTCGTACAAAACTTGCCATATTATTATGCTTAAAATAAAGAGGAAGAAGCTCTTTTGCAAATTCTGCTTGATCTTTAATAATGAAACTATTTTCAGTCTGTAAAATATTAGTATATATTAGTTTTTAATCAGCAAAATCAGTTTATTGCAGTTTAATTAAATACAAACTACATATTTTGTTCAAAACAAATTTCTAAGAAAATGAACATTTCAAAAAATAAAATTTCATTATTGTAATTGTTAAAAATTTTAATGTTTAATCATTTCATTATTACAAATTATCATCAATAAGATATTAATGCATTTTCTCAAGTTCAAGCAATTTAAAAATAAAAAAAAGTTTACTAAGTTTTTCTATAGATGTCCAGGTTATACTGGATTCTTATTAATAATAAAAAAGGCAAAAGTAGTTTCAATATTTAAGGCTTTTGATCTCTTTAATGGATTATCTTCAAGACCACGAAAGAATAACTTAAAATTATTATTATTTGTTGACAATGATTAAGCCCATAAAATTTAAATTATATTAAAAATATAAAAATTTGATAGACTACAATAAAATCCATTGTTATCCTTTTACTTTCTCGACTTTCCATCAGAAGTAAACTTTAAAATAACGATAAAACTGATTTTAAGAAACTTTAAAACCTTTACAATCCAACCAATGCCGTATGTCATCAGGCTAGATATCAGCTATAATACTAATAAATTATGAAACAATTTGGTACTAGAGGGAGATGTTAGGTGCCATCTCTTAATAAATTTAATAATTATAATTTTTAATTAAATAATTTAACCAAAAGCACACACCTTGATGGAATAGTCATCTCACCATATAAAGTCAGAAATTAAGGGCTCAGTGGAAGCAATTTCAAAGGAAATAGGATCCAAAATGCAAAGAAAAAAGGGGGTGGTAAAGACAACAGTTTAGCAACTACAAAACAGATTAACAGGGTTCAGACCCAGGATTGGAAGGATTTTTGGACCAATATGGGCAAGTGTTTAGCCTGGTTAAAACCTTACTACATCATCTGCAAGTCTCGGAAAGCTGTCAGTATTCTGATTAACATGATAAAAGAAAATGGAACTTGCACCACATTATAAGAACTCCATTAATCTCCTAATGAACACTCATTTTCCAGCTGATGACAGCAATTCTGACACCAGTGAACAACATAATATACGAGATAAAATCAGAAATTAATATAAATGCAAGATATAAATGAACAAACATTTCTGGTTTACTTCATAAACCCACTTTTATATCTATATAAAATCGAGTTCCACTTGTTTGTGACTTAAAGTTTTGAGTTGAAGTAGTCTCAGACAGTACAATTGGCACATTCATCAGGTGGAGAAGGTTTCGACGATTTTACTGGAGATATTGCAGAACTATTGGCTGATAAAGAACTAAGTGAAGATGATTTAATTAACATGGTTGATGAAACTAGTGATTGTGACAATGATCCTGATGAAGAAGAATTTGAAACAGTTGCATTTGCAGCAAAAATCATCCGCGAAGGACTCGAATTGGGAAGAAAAATGGGTAATCATTTTGTACAAAATGACTCAAATGTTGAATGGGCTCTTCGATGCCAATGTGATATCAATCACTTCTTGGCTCAATATGATGAGGTCTATAAAGATCTAGCAAGAAATCAGAAGCAAATGTTAATAACAGATTTCATTACCAAATCTCCTCGGGGTGTAAATGTTTCTACTTCAAACATCGAATTGGCACAAATAATTTTGACAGATGAAAGTGGCCTTGAACCAGTCACGAAGAACAGATTGACTCTGATTAATGATAGTGATGAACGATGATAACTGCCATCAACACTTGCAAAAATTTTTTTTATGAATCTTTTAGATTTTATTTTTATTCCTTTGTACTTTGTGTTTAATTAATAAAAGAATATATTTTTTTGCTTTTCAATATTTTTCTTTGATTTATGTACCTTAAAAAAATTGAAAAAAATTCATAATTAATAAACAACGAAATTATGTGTTTTTTGCATACTTTTTGATTTACATGGTTTTACATTCAAAAAGTTACAATTTTGATTTACACATTTTTCTCGGGAACCTATCTACCATGTAAATCAAGGGATGGGTATACTACAATTTAAAAGTTTTATCATTGGACTATGACAAGTCTTAAATATTTAAGAAAGATGGTGAGCTTAAAGATTAATTATATAAAGACAAAATGCTTAAAGTAAGGGAAAATTTTAAATTATAAAAATGTAAGTAACAAACATGCACTATCCAATATTTGAAATAGGTGAAGCTCATGCCAAATTATTTTGGTACTTTTAGATTAACGGGATGCTAGAAGATTATCGCATTTAACAATTTAGCCCACATGACCATACCAGCTTCGAGTAGCCCACTTGACTGTTCGTGGAGTACTCAACGTTGTATAGTTTTAGGGTGGTGTGGGCTTGCCCCACTTAGGCAAGACCCCACACCCTGGCGCAAGACCCCACACCCTGGCTATTGCCTATTCTACATGTGAAGCATGTAGAATAGGCAATAGACCAATACATGTTAAAAAGTGATCTTGGGAAATGAATATCACATGAAGGGTAAACAATTTTGGTGTGACACAAAATTCCTCATTCAGAGCTTAAATCTTACCCATTGCCATACATATCTGCTGGCATCCTTTTAACTGAAAAATACCATTATTTTTAATACCCATCATCTTTTTCCATTTTTTCTTGAAAATTTGACCATAAGTAAGTTAATGCATTACACCTTACATAAAAAGTCTTACAATGTATTTTCATAGGAATGTATTATATCTTCACAAGATTTATTACGAAACTTAAGGAAGTTTTAGAAGAAAGGTGAGAATCGGCCACTTATTCAGATCAACAAGTCGCTTTAATTTAGCACACTCATCGATCCGACATAAATTTTCAAGCCACGGTTGCACTTTGCACGGGGATAAAATTCTACCAGTTTAGGGATGTAGCCAGAAATTGGCATAAAGGCCACCCACATAGCCAACAGCTTCCATAGCCTTTGCATGAGAAGATAAATTATCAGAAATAGACGGCGGCCCCTGATCACTAGCAATGCATTATTGTTCAAGAAGTCGCCACGTCGGTTCAATAGCCCAAGCCGTACGCAAACCAGCAATGCTAGCAACGTCAATAAAAAAAAAAGGCCAAACGAGAATGAGTATTAAATTTTATTTGTCACCTAGTGACAATCCGTATGTCCAATTCAACACTGACTGACGTGCCCGGTTTTCCATCTCGTCCGGCAGTCAACTGCCAGTAACAATTTTTATTACGATGTTTATTTTAAAACTCAAACAGGACAGCAGTGGGAGAAAGCAAGGGGTGGAAAATGCCACCCGGCATGGCTATGTCCCCACTATTATAAGCAGTTTGGCAAAATAAATAGTTTAGGATACACTAAAGAAAACAGACATTTTTATCAAAAGTACTCACCATCAGTTTTTGTTTCTTTTGCTATATTTTCCAAAACATTGTTTACTTAACATTTTATCATAATCTATAACTGGTGTTATCAACTTCTCACTACCGGGTCACGTTTTTAAAAGCTCTCCTCAACAACGCTTCTGATCCATCACATTATCAATCATGTACCGTACATCCGCCTGGCACTTCCCGTAGGTCTCCCATTATCGCAACTCGGTTGGTCGTCAGATGGTCCAGAAAGCTTATGATCTCTGCCCCAGCGCACAAATTTTACACAACAGCTTCCATCCCAATTTAGAGTGCAAGAACTTCATTTTACTTCTGGAGCCGGAACAAGCCACAAAGCAAACTTCGGAAAAGCAGACCGACGCCAAAGGAGAAAAGGAAGCAAGGGAAAAGACGCGAGGGAGACGAAAGGAGGAACCCACAGCCTGGCTGGCAGACGACATTCCTTCCGCGAAAGGCGATCCGACCGCTTTCAGGAAATACGCGTTCTCGCCGTTACGTAACGTCGAAGCGGTCGGTACTACGAATTTCGACGCCCTCGTCGCTCGGCAAACGCGGAACAATTCGGAATTACGTCGTTCCGCATCTGGACCGAGAGTCGGGACGTCGAAGGGGAAGAGCAGACATCACTTTCTAAAGACGAAACGAACGACACTCACCGACCCCCATTTTATCAAATGATCGTAGGACGAATCTTCTACTAATTTCCATAACTTGGCGAGAAATGCCGGCACGTTGGCTTCGGAGCTTTCTAACGAGTGCATGTTTCTTCGGTCTAGCACTCGACGCCTTTCGGACTACGCTAATCGGACGTGCGGATGGTCGAAAGAATATAAGTTAATTACGAACGAACGGACGTAATCTCCGCATTACTCGAACTTCGAAAAGAAAAATAAACTGGTTCCAAATAAAAAGAAAAGTTTGTCTGCGTCAAACCATTCCCACGCGAATTTCTTGAACTAGTTAATTCTCCCCATCGACACTGCATGGCGGGAAGATCGGCGGACGACCGATTCTCGCTTAACGAAAAAAAAAATTTCGTAAATCTTGTAAAAACTTTATAAATGTTCGAAATTAAGCGAAATCGATTACCTAGTAGTTAGAAACGAAAAATCTGTTTCGAACGAATCGAAACTACGCGTTCTAACGATATCGGATGTATTTATTTTATCCAGGGCCGGCCATCGGGGGGGGTGCTGTGCACCGGGGCCCCGCGATTGAGGGGACCCTAACATTGTCAAGAATGCACAAGAAAACTCGACAATATTCCTATCGTTGTCAGTATGACGAAAAGTACATTTTATCGTAAACATTATTATTGTAATCTCTGAATTTCGACAATCTTCAAACTAATTCTCGGTGATGCGAATGTTTAGTTTTTGTTATTTGATTCGGGAAACTCCCGAGGATCCCCACCTAAATTCGACTTTAAAATAAAAAAATCTCAATACCATATAGCCCGCGTTAAGAAATGAAAATACTGTAATACTGTGGCCGTCGGCCGTATAAAATTATATGTATATTTGCATATAGTCGTAGTTTTAAGTAAATACGACTCTGTTCTAATGTATCATATAAACAGAAT